AGTTGTATCGATCTTTAATTGGAAGCCTACTCTATGTGATGGCATCAAGACCGGATGTCATATTTAGTGTGTGCATGTGTGCAAGATTTCAATCCTCACCAAGAGAAAGTCATTTGAAAGCTACAAAGAGAATATTGAAATATGCTCAGCATTGTTATTACAGTAAGTGATAGATAAGCCTAGTGCTAAACCACTTGTATCTTACTTTTCCTGCATTTTAACTTTCCTTGGCTTCTAAGCCTAGTGTTAGAAATATGCTCAGCATCTACTTTTGGAATATGCTGTAGCAAGTGGGATAAAGACCGCCGAGTGGAGCACGCGGTAGGCTTTAGCCCCCTCTGCGTAGCCGATAAAGACCGCCGGCGAGCTACGATCATCGAGCTTGCCGACGTGGTTCAGCTCCTTAACGAAGGCGAGGCAGCTGAAGATCAGCAGATAGCTGATCGCTGACTTGCGCCCATGCCAGGCCTCATACGGCATCTTGCTGTCGAGCGCACTGGTCGGTCATCACGGCCTCTCCCCAGTAGACCACCGGCATGCCGCCCTGTTTGAGGAGCGCACGCGCCGCTGCCACCACCGTCTGTTTGCGGCGCTTGACCACGTCGTTCTGCTGCGGTGAGTAGGGCACATAGTAGTGGCACTGAATCCCCTCGTCGGCGCAGTATGCCGCGATCTCAGCTGACGTGAATTCGCTGCCGTTGTCCGTGCAAAGCACCCAGAGCTTGCGACCGCACTCCTCCGTGGCTGCCTGGTGGCGCTTGATGGCGTCCACAGCTGCCGCCTTGGAATCGAGCAGCACGACCCACATATAGCGGGTGGCGTCGTCGACGAGCAGTAGGAAGTAGCGCCGACCTCTAGGAGTGGCCAGTGACACTGGACCGTAGAGGTCGTCGTGCACCAGCTCGAGCTGCTCGATGGCGCGATAGGACGCTTGACGCGGGAAGGGCCGGCGCTTCAGCTTGGTCACCACATAGGTGTCGTAGAGCTGATCGACGTGGTCGACGCAGGGCATGCCGCGGACCATCTCCTTCTTGCCGAGCTGCTTCAGGGCTTCGAAATGAAGGTGCCCGAAGCGCTCATGCCAGCGCCACGCCTCATCATCCCGGAGCGCGGCAAGACAGAGGGGGTGCGCCACCTGTACATGGAGCACATAAAGACGGTTGCTTCCTCGGTTCACCTTAGCGAGAAGACGGCGGCCTCTATCCCGATATGCACAAAGACGCCGTCCTCAATCTCCACCCGCGAGTCGTTCTTGTCCAAATCGCCCGACGCGTTGATGATGGAGTTCTTCAAGGCCGGGATGTAGTACACCCCGGTGAGAAGACGATGCTCCCTCGTCTTGGCCTTGAAGATGACCGAGCCGATGCCCTTGATCTCAATGGCGGAGGCGTCACCAAACTTGACGGAGCCCTTCACGCCGGAGTCTAGGTCGGAGAAGAATTCGAGCCGACCGGTCATGTGGTGCGTCGCACCGATGTCAAGGTACCAACCGTCGATCTTGTCATCGGTGGCACCTTTGCTGAGGAAGGCGTGAGCGCGCGATTCGTCGAGGTGGAGCTCGACGGAGCCAGCCAACCTAGAAAGGGGAAAGCTTGGACCTTTCACCCCCTCCCCTGTGTCTTGCTGTAGCACGACGCACCCAAGCGCCTGGAACAGGGTGGCATCCTGCTCCTCTGCTTGCGCGACGAGAGCCTGCCCACCGTGGCGAGAAGGAAGGCGGCAGTCCTTGGCCCAGTGGCCAGTCCTGCCACAATTGTTGCAAGTGTCATCCTGGGTCGCCTTGCGCTCGCCGGCGGCGCCGCCATCAGCGCCGACCTGGCCCCGAGGTCCCTCCTCCTTGCCGCTGCGTGGACGCTGACGACGCTCCTTGGAGCCGGACGAACCGGATCCTACCTCCTTCTTGTCAAAGGCGCGCCACTGCTCCATCGTGTACAACAGCTTGCCTCCAGCGGCGCTCGACTCGGTGTGAGGCCCCTCGCGGTCCTGCACCGCCTTGAGCCTCCCGGTCACGTCCTCGACGGTGAGCTGCTCGAAGTCGAGGAGCGTCTCGATCGACATGACGATTTGCGCGTACTTCCTCGGCATGCAGCGGAGGAATTTCTCCACCGCGCGCTCCTCCGTGAGGTCGGTGTCGTCGTTGCGCACCATCTGCTCCATCAGATTGTTAAGATGAAGGGCAAAGTCCTCGACTTGCTCATCAGGCTGAAAAGCGAGGCCTTCCCACTCCCCTCGGAGGTGCTGCAACGTCGCCCGGCACACACGATCTCCACCGATGCGTGCCGTGGCAATCAATTCCCACGCCAGCTTTGCTGTAGCCTTGTTGACGAGGGAGGCGCCGAGCTCGGTGGGGATGGCGGCACACAACGCCTCCAGCGCCCGGCGATCGCCGTCGTAGTCGACGCTGCCGACGTGAACCGCCTCACGCAGCCGCCGAGCATGCAGCTTGACCTTCATCAGCAGGCTCCACTCATGGTAGTTCGACTTGGTGAGCATCGGCCAGGGCGTTCCCGCTCCGGAGTCGCGGTAGACCGTCTGCAGCACCGGGGAGCGGCCGCGCCGACCACACCGCCGCTCTGGTGACGGTGACTGGCGACGGCGCCCGACCGGGCTATGTGATCCTCCAGCTGGCTCCGACTCCCGCTCCATCTCGACGCGCAGTGCTGCGGCCGTGGCTACTGCGGCTTGGGCCGCAGCCGCCGCAGCCGCTGCCTCTGCGGCAGCAAGGCGCGTCGCGCGATCGTCGGCTCTGGCACCTGCGGCGGTACGCGCTCTCGCGATCTGGCTGGCGGTGGACATGGCACTCGCTCACTCAAGAACCCTCTCGGCTTTGATACCAGATTGTTGGCCCGATTGGATCTCAGATTCAGATCTGAAACTACCAGAGGGCGGCTTGGCCCTTGGCCGCTTGGATTGAATGAAAAATGCAATGGCCTATTTTTACAATGGCACTCCCTTGCTCTTTATAGGCAAAGGGGACTCCCACTTGCTACAATATATTCCAACTATTAAAGTGGATGCTGAGCATATTTCTAACACTAGGCTTGGAAGCCAAGGAAAGTAAAAGTGCAGGAAAAATAAGATACAAGTGCTTTAGCACTAGGCTTATCTATCACTTACTGTAATAACAATGCAGCGATTTCTTTCACAAAACTTGTCATTTGCCAGACGCTGGAACACTACAAAGGGACTACTGAGGCATATTGTACAAAGAGCAGAAAGTATTGAATGCAAACAGAAAATTTTAAAGACCTGTCTCCTTCTCAACCACAAGTTTGTAGTGAGCAACACTAACAACATCTGCAAGAGGAAAAGAATGAATAAGACAACTTCAGCTCACTGCAATGCAATTCAGGGTATCAAGGTAGGAAATCAAAGTTTGCATAACATGAAAGGAAGCCTGTGCATATTTACGGGGAGTACTAAGGAGACTCAAGGTCATACGTATTCAAGACCAAACATGATATAAATTGTTAATTGTCTTGAGAGCCAAGCTCTGCTGTAGAGGTGTAGGCATGTCTAAATCCGACTTGCTAGACAACCATATGATAACTCAATTACAAAATTTAATTGGAAATAAATTGCAGAAAGATAAAAGGTACTCATGCCGTTTCAAACTATTGTTCACTTTAGCTTTGTCCTAAGTCAAACTTCTCTAACTTTGATTTGATCAAGTTTTTAGAAAAATGTATTATCATCTACATGTTCAATAAATGCATTATCAAAATATATTTCATGGAGAATTTCATGGAACTAGTTTGATATTCTAGATGTTGGTGCATTTTTCTATAAACTTGATCAAAGTTAGAGAGGTTTGACTTGGGACAAAAAGCTAAAGGAAAGTAATAAACTATAACTTGGAACAGAGAGTAGTTAGTTAATCCAGAATGTATGAATCTGAATTTCTTCGAAAAAAAAAAAAAAACTAAATTGAAGATCTATGGTACCATTTAAGGGCAAATTGATCAGAGTGACTTTGCCCAGTGTGCTTTAAAAAATCTAGGAAAGAGCTAATTTTTCAGTACCCCTCCCACACATTTCACAATAGCACAATGGGAGTTGTGTTCTTAAAGTTGCTGGAAAAACCTTTGATTGGCTCAATATCAACAGGGATGGAGAAAGCCTGAATATACAGAAGGTAAAAGAAAACCAATTAAATGGAATCTTATAAATAAACCACTTAGCAAAAATTAGGGGCGGAGCAAGCGGGCTCGAGCCTGGTTGGCTAGCTCGTGTTAGAGTTGAGCTAGCAACCACGGTTCGAATCCCCGTGTGCACAGCATTAAGCCATCTCATATGGCCAGGGTTTCCGACCCTATTAGTTTTTTTTTTTAAATTAGGGCGGAGAAACATAAAAGCTTACAGCATTGACGTTTGTTATAGAATACACTTTCTTTTTAGCCCTCCACAAATCTTATCCAGCCCATCACCAAACTAGGATAATGAAGGGTATAGACATGTGCACACAGGTAAAAAATGAATAAAAATAAACAAATAGTTCTATGAATATAACATTGCAAGCCTAGTAAAAATTGTGCAAGTAACAGCAAAAGTGTAATAGGAAAACCATATAGAATTTCCTAATTCCTATCGAGAATTTAGTGAACACTTCTTCTATATTGAAGTTTTTTTTGTATTCAGATAAATCAAAGACAACTCTTCATGAATTCAGACATGTTCCATGTCATAAAATATCTCAAATTTGTGAACTGACACTGGGAAGGACAACAGATTCATCGTGGCTTCATTTCTTCCCCCTCTTCATATGCATAAACCTAGACAACTAAGACTACATTGAAAGAACGGTATCCCAGGTTCCCAACCCCACTAGTTCATCAAACACATCCAGATCATCTTTCTTTATGTAATGGAGAGAAGCACAAGGGATGATTAAGGAACAAAAGGAAAACTAATTGGTTTAAGTTATAAAAAATGATGCGTCATAAAATAATAAAAGAATAAAAACCAAACATATCTTCAAAATTTCAACTCTATGGCAGAGTTCATACCCTTTCACTACAGGAACCTGCAGCGAGCCAAGGGAGCACAATATTCAGTCAGCTAAGGGCAATGAAATTAAGACATTATACATCATGTAATAGTCATGGTGCTGCATATTAGTGAAGGATCAAATATCATCGATGGCACAAGTCCTCTCTACAATACACAACGGAAGCTTCTGGAAAGACAGCAGACTAATGGCACCTACGGACCTACCACATTGAGATTGTGCCGACTGCACTTGAAGAGTATGCAGATATCGTTGATGGCACGGTCAACAACTGCTACTTCTGCAGTGAGCCAAGATACATGCAAATTCTAGTAATCACTTATAATGGAAAGAGGAGCAAACATTGCAGCTAGTGATCACAGACCTACGAAGATGGAGGGTACATGTAGTAGATGTCCCTCTTGGAGCAGTGCTTGTTCTACTGCAGGAGCTGCTGCACCACGAGCAGCACCCTCAGGAGCACATCTACGCATGAACAACGCATCAGAAAGTAATTAGTGTGATCACATACACGTAAAGATTTAGATGTATTCATACTGAGGCGGGAGGTGTGGTAGTCCTTGTGGAGCAGGGAGAGGACGTCCGTGCCGACGGGGACGTCGTAGCTGCAGGCACTGCAATCACGCACGAGCGCGCGGCCAGGGATGTGACACATTTTGGTGAACATTGCTCGAGAGATGTTATGGTGAGGAAGGAGATGGTCTCGGGAGCGGGGCGGAAGCCAAACCATGGGAACGGGGACGCAGAGTCGGTGGAGGAGAAGTAGTTCCGGTACCGGTGGAGCACTATGGACGGCGAGCGGCCGGCGGTAACCTCTTCGACGACCCAGCGCACAAGCCCTGCGCCGTGCCCCAACCGCGCATCAGCTCCAGACGCTACAGGGGAGAGGGAAGTTTTAAGGGCAGGCGATCGAGGAGATGAGTAACAAAACCTTTGATCCTGCGGAGGAGGAGCGCCGCTTCCTCCTGACTCCGCCGCAACTGCTGCTCGTCGCCTTCGAGCGGCGCCGCTCGCCGCCTCTTGTCCCTCCCCGCCATGGCGCTAGTCGATCGCGAAGGAACAGAGTTGGGCTTAGTGGGCTCCGTTCGACTGCTTGGGCCTTCAACGAAGCCACCTTTCAAGAGGCGTGACACAACAAGGTTACCTTAAATCCCCTAAAAAAACAAGATTACCTTAAATTTCGGTAACGCTCCTGTTGGGATGTCCGTCCGTCGGACGGGCACCTCGCGCCGTGCGCCTCCCGCTTTGCGTCCTGCACGTCACGACTCGCACTTTCTAAAAAAACCTCGCCTCGTATGGTCGTACCAGACCCTCACGACTCTCACTTTTCTAACGAAAAACTCGCCTCGTTGCGTCCTGCACGTCACGGCTCGCATTTTCCTAAACAAAAACTCGTCTCGTACGGTTACACCAGACCCGCCTTGTGCCATGCATCCCGCCCATGCCTCAGCGCCATGCACGCCGCATCAACTAGCCTCCATTGGACGGCATCAAGTACATGTGTACATGTTGCAACCGTATGTTTCATGCGCTTCAGATGCATGTTGCATATGTTTTATCTTAATGTTATAAAAAATGATCTTATGTTGTATATGTTGCAATACCTATACACGTATACTTTTTTACCGAAGTCGTGCGGGAAACCCTAACCTATATTTTTAACTTTCTTTTATTTTAAACATTTTAATTCGCTCACATGGGGAGTCGAACCTGACCTCTTGGATGCTACTAAGGTGCTCTAACCACTAGGCTAGAGGCCCTTTCGCGCTTCTCTGCGTATGTTGCTAGTGTATTTTCCAAATGTTTTAATTGCAAATGTATGTTGCAAGTGTTTTTATAGATATTGCACATGTTGCGGTGGTTATACATGTACGTTGCAAGTATATGTTTCAAATGTTTCACCTATTTCAGACCTATGTTACAAGTGTTTCATCTGGATGTTGCATATGTTGTAATGTTGCAGATGTTTCAGACACATGTTGCAAGCGCATCTATTCAAAATGTTTCGTCTGTTTCAGCCGTACATTGCAAATGTGTTTATCTGGATGTTGTAGTTGCTATACACATATGTTGTAAAAGTATGTTTGTAAATATTTCACTTGTTTTAGACGTATGTTGCAGAAGTGCTTTCATGTTGCAACATTAGCAGGCTTAGGAAGCGGACGTGTCTTGAATCTGAGATCTGCACACTGTATGGCGTGCGGTCCCCACCTGCATGTGCATCAGCAGAGCAGCCTGGCGGGCGCACTAGCATGCAGGTGCGGGTTTGCAGGCGCAACAATTACATGCGAGACGTGCACGCGTAGAGTTGCATGTGGGCAGCAGTTACATGTGGGGCAGGCTTTTTTTTGGAAAAGGTGGGACAGGCGTGGACGTCTGGGCGCTAATCGTTTTGCTTAGACTTTGCTACAATACACATCTATAGATGCACTATAGATGTACATAGTTTAAAAATATGTTAGAACTCATAAGTATGTATTTCTAAAGGGTTTTCACGATTCGAACAGAGGGTTTGCAATATTTTCCTGTGTATGAATTGTACGTTTGCACTTCGTTTTTTGAGAGAACCACAATTGATAACTTTGTAGAGGGAGAGAGAGATTAAACTGCGCTGAATGCTGATGTAATTGAAAGAGGATTAATCCTGAGTTTATTAGGGACGTCCTTTGTCGACATATCAGTACTATATACGGAGTAGTTTTAAAGCTGTTGGACAGTTGCACCCCCACCTCGCGTTCATGTAGCTGTGTGTGATATTGATGTATTCTACTCTTTTATTTACTTATATTATAAAAAATAGCAGCGCACGTCAGCGGACAGCGGTTATCTTCTCCCCCACACTCATAAGTTAATTAAGAAAAGGTGACAACGCGAGTGATTATTAGAGCTAGAGGGGACAGAAACAGCCGAGCTGGGAGAGCAAGAACCGACGCTCCCGACTCAGCCAATCCAGCTTCGATTGATCCGACGTTCCCGAGTCAGCCAAAGGCCCAAGGTAACGAAGATCACTGAACGCCTCCAGTCTCTCAATATCTTTTCATTCTTGTTTGATTGATTGACAACTAATCAACCTCCTTTCTAAGCACGCCGGAGTACTTCCTCGGTATATCCGATCGATATCCGTAGACCGAAATGCTTCCCCTCCTATAGCTGTTGTTGATATATCATGAGCTTGATCCGTATAATATTTAATAAATCAAATAAAATTTTATAGTTCGTAACATTAAGTGTTGTATGATTTAATATCGTATAAGATTTTGACTGAACGTTGACTCAACTTATTTGGTTGAAAATTATCCATCTTAATTGAAAAACTGAGAAAAGGACACAGAAATGCCACACCTGCACGCGCGCCGCCGCCGTGGCCGGGCCGGGCCGTGGGCGTGGCAGGCGGGCGGGCGTGGCCAGGTTTTACCACTTATTCCACATAATTACGACCCTCCCCGCTGCAGGCATAAGTTAGATGTTCTCCGTCAGTCCAATTCTTTCTTCGCTTTCGAGAAACCACATCTCAGTCGCTTTTTGGCTTTCCCCGTTCCGTACCTTTGCGCGCACGGAGTAACGAGAGAGCAGGTGCCTCTGAAACCCTCGTCCGCCTACGAACCTTGCACGGGGTGTGCGGCGATTAGATTTTTGGAGAACGATTCCGCGACTGCTCGTCTACATCGCAGACGTCTTTTTCCTGGTGATCGCTCGTGGAACAGCAATGTGTCTTCTTCCTAGTGACCGTTCATGGGACTACACTGCGAACACCTTCCTGCATCGACTGTGGTCCACGACTTCGAGCAACGCACTATGTCTGGTGCGAATGGAGCCTCCGATGTTCTCGGCATGGGACCCTCTGCTGGGTACACTATTAACTCTCTGATTACTTTACTTTGTGTACTTACTGTATCGATCAGTATGTCATACTTGTATGCTGTAGCATTTGTTAGTGATATACAGATGCACATATATATTGTCACGAACCTGCTGATGTTTTATTTCTGAATTAAATTGACCATGAAAATGTCTAATTATCTAACAATAAAAAACCTAATGTTAGGTAATTTTCTGTTAGTAGTTTTGCTGCTGCTTTGAAGCTGAATAATTTTGATGGCAAGAATTTCATAATATGACGTGCCAAGATGGTGTTGTGGTTGACTGCTATGAACTGCTATCACACCACACAGGGGAAGCCTGAATAATTTACTCCTGAGGAGGAACAAAAGTTCTTGGTTGCTGATAACCTATTTCGAGGCGTCGTGATTAGTGCACTTCATAGTAAGTATGAGAAAAACTACATATCTTGCACATCAGGCAAAGAGTTATAGGATGCTCTTGAGGCAAAGTTTGGAGTTTCTGATGCTGGTAATGAGTTGTATCTTATGGAGCAGTTGTATGACTATAAAATGGTTGAAAACCGTTCTGTAGTGGAACAGGCTCATGAGATACAGGCGCTAGCAAAGCAACTAGAACATTTTTTATGTCTGTTGCTCGACAAGCTTGTGGCCGACGGTATAATCGCTAAGCTGCCACCTTCCTAGAGGAATTTTGCTACTTCTCTAAAACACAAGAGACAAGAGTTTAGCGTGGCTGAGCTTATTGGATCTCTTGATGTTGAAGAGAGGGCGAGAGCAAAAGACAACCGTGGAAAAGGAGTTGAGTCTTCTGCTGCCAATATGGTGCAGAAGAAAAACTTATTTGCATCCCGTAATAAAAAGAAGAAGAACATGCAAGAGAACAACAATATAAAGCCTAAGCAAACTGCTCAGTTTAAGAAGAAAAACAACCAGAAATGTGGAGGTTGCTTTGTTTGCGGGGGTGATGAGCATTGGGCAAGTGTGTGCCCAGACCGCAAATATAAGCAAGAAAAGAAATCAGCAAACGTAGTGATTAGCGAGACTGGAGTAGGAACATCTAGGTATGGTATTTCTTTACCTTTTGTTCTTTCAGTTCATCTTTTACCTGAGTGGTGGATAGATAGCGGTGCTAATATTCATGTGTGTGCTGATATTTCTTTATTTACTTTCTATCAGGCCGGTGGGACTAGAGCCTTGCTGATGGAAAACGGTTCGTATACGCGTGTTCTTGGTGTTGGTACGGTCGTTCTGAAGTTTACTTCGGGAAAGACGGTGCTATTAAAGAACGTGCAGCATGTTCCCTTTATCAAAAAGAATCTTATTAGCGGTTCTCAAATGTGTCGCGATGGCTTTAAAATTGTGCTTGATTCCAATAAATGTGCTGTGTCGAGACATAAAATATTTGTTGGAAAAGGTTATGATCGCGGAGGCTTGTTCCGCTTATCTTTGGTTGATGATGTGTGTAATAAAGTAGTGAACAATGTTAATGTTTCGGATGAGTCGAATATATGGCATTCACGACTTTGTCACATTAATTTTAGGCTGTCTCACGGCTTTCAAATCTGAATTTAATTCCAAAATTTAATTTAGTCAAAGATTCTAAGTGTTAGGTGTGTGTTCAATCGAAGAAACTGCACAAGCCTCACAAGACTATTTGAGGCGAGGAACTTGGCACCATTAGAACTTCGTTCATTACGATTTATCTTGAAATGAATGGAGAATTGACTAAAGGTAGTAAACGATACTTCATGACATTTATAGATGATTGTACTAGATTTTGCTACGTGTATTTATTAAAAACTAAAGATTAAGCGTTGCATTATTTTAAAGTCTATAAAGCTGAGGTAGAAAATCAACTTGAGAAAAAAATCAAACGTTTGCGGTCTGATCGCGGGGGAGAATATTTCTTAAATGAATTTTCTGAGTTTTGCACGGTGCATGAAATTATTCATGAGAGGATGCCACCATTCTCACCACAGTCCAATGAGATTGCAGAGAGAAAGAACCGCACTCTAACTGATTTGGTTAATGCCATGTTAGAGACTGTGGGACTATCTAAGAAATGGTGGAGTGAGGCTATATTGACAGCGTGCCATGTCCTGAATAGCGTGCCCACAAAGAACAAAGAAATTACACCATTCGAGAAATGGGAGAAGAAGAGATTAAATCTCTCTTACATGCGAACTTGGGGTTGTTTGGCAAAAGTGAATGTGCCAATAAACAAAAACCGAAAGCTTGGACCAAAGCCTGTTGATTGTGTTTTTCTTGGTTATGCTATTCACATCGTTGGTTATAGATTTTTAATTATAACTTTTAGTGTTCTTGAGATGGTTGTTGATACAATCATGTAATCTAGAGACGCTATATTTTTTTAGAATGAATTTTCTGTGAAAAATGCGCCTAGCACGACTGGTCATGAATTTATAATTCTCCATGAGCATGAAAATTTTACTCCGATAGAACAAATTGAGGAACCCTATATGTAAAATTCTGAGGAGGATGACACTATAGTCACTAGAAAAAGTAAGAGACAGAAGACCGTAAAGTCTTTTGGTGATGACTATATTGTGTACCTTGTGGATGACACACCAACGACCATTGAAGAGGCATATTCCTCTCCTGATACTGACTTATATAAGGAAGCAGTATGGAGTGAGATGGATTCTATTATGTCTAATGGAACTTGAGAAATAGTTGATCGTTCTTATGGGTGCAAGCCTATAGGGTGCAAATGGGTGTTCAAGAAAAAGCTTAGGGCTGATGGTATTATCGAGAGGTACAAGGTAAGACTTGTGGTCAAGGGTTATACTAAAAAGGAAGGTGAGGATTTCTTTGATACTTATTCACCGGTTGCCCGATTAACTACAATTTGAGTTTTGCTTTCCTTGGCAGCCTCTTATGGTCTTATTGTTCATCAAATGGACGTTAAGACAGCTTCCCTAAATGGAGTCAGAGGAGATCTGTATTGATTAGCTGGATGGGTTTTTAGCAAATGGTCAAAAAAGTAAGGTGTGTAAATTATTAAAGTCATTATATGACCTAAAACAAGCTCCTAAACAGTGGCATGAGAAGTTCGATAGAACTCTAATATCTGCTGGATTTGTTGTAAATGAAGCTGACAAATATGTGTACTATCAGTATGGTGAGGGTGAAGGAGTTATTTTGTGCTTATATATTGATGACATACTGATCTTTGGATCCAGCCTCAAAGTGATTGAGGAGGTGAATGAATTTTTATCTAATAATTTTGAAATGAAAGATTTGGGAGAGGCTGATGTTATTCTTAATATCAAGCTTCTGAGAGAAGGTGATGGTGGGGTAACTCTGTTACAATCCCACTATGTGGAAAAGGTGTTGAGTCGCTTTGGGTTTAGTAACTGTGAACCTACTCCTACACCTTATGACCCTAGTGTGCTATTGAGGAAAAATCAAAGAATAGCAAGAGATCAATTGAGATATTCCTAGATTATTGGTTCGCTCATGTATCTTGCTAGTGCAACAATGTCTGACATCTCATTTGTTGTGTGCAAGGTGAGCCGGTTTGTGTCAAACTCGGAAGATGATCACTAGCGTGCTCTTGAGAGAGTGATGCGCTCTCTAAAAGACACTATGAGGTATGGTATTCGTTATACCAGACATCCGAAGGTGATGGAAGGCTACTGTGATGCCAACTGATCTATGATGCTGATGAGCTTTATGCCACTAGTGGATATATGTTTTCGCTTGGAGGTGGTGCTGTTTTCTGGAAGTCTTGCAAACAGACTATCTTAACGAAGTCTACAATGAAAGCAGAACTCACAACATTAAACACCGTTGGCTCTGAGGCCGAGTGGCTTCGTGATCTCCTTATGAATTTATCGGTTGTTGAAAAACCCATACCGGCTATTTCTATAAACTGCGATAACCAGACTGTGATTACGAAGGTTAACAGTTCTAAAGATAACATGAAGTCCACAGTACATGTTAAGAGATAACTAAAATCTGTCAGAAAATTGAGAAACTCTGAAGTAATAGCGTTGGACTATGTTCACACATCTAACAATCTGACAGGTCAATTCACTAAGGGTCTGTCACATAATGTGATAGAAAGTGCATCGAGAGAAATAGGTTTGAGACCCACATAAAATTTACTATAGTGGTAACCTGTTCTACGTGATCAGAGATCCCATGAAGTAGGATGGTGAAACAAGTTAGTAGTAAATTATGAGGAAAAATCCTTAGTAAGACTCATTTCTGATGCATATCTTTCCTTTCTGTAAGACAGGTTGATTTTTATCTTAATGTGTTCCAAGTGGCTTGCTAAAGTAAAGATGTTGTTCTACAGAACATTTTTTGAGAAACACACATATATGAGTTAAACTGATGGTCACAGTTTATGAGATTTGGGTGATCTCTAAATACTCATGAAAAGCACTGGAGTATGACTTATATGCTTTAAATAGAGGGGATGTCTTTTGCAGCCTAGTATCAGCTAAGTACTTTAGTGACATTTACCTCACACAAAACTGTCAATTCAAAGCTTAGTCCATTGTTCAGTTGTGACTGAGTGAAACTATTGCTCTAGATGGATGTTCAATTTATCAGTCTTCATCGAAACACTGGTATATAAAAGAAATGTGGTTTTGAGACTACTTTGTTACAAACCCATGGAGTTTGGTGGAGATTGTTGGATATATATGGGCTTGGCCCGTATAATATTTAATAAATTAAATAAAACTCTATGGTCCGTAACATTAAGCGCTGTATGGTTTAATACCGTACGGGATTTTGACTGAACGTTGACTCAGCTTATTTGGTTGGAAATTATCCATCTTAATTGAGAAGCTGAGAAAAGGACACAGGAGTGCCACACGCGCGTGCGCCACCGCCACCCGCCGGGCCGGGCAGGGCCGGGCCGTGGGCGTGGGTGTGGGCCGTGGCGGACGGGTGGGCGTGGCCAGATTTTGCCACTTATTCCACATAATTACGGGAGTTTCTCTCCTTTATGGTGGAGGCGAGTTGATTGCGTCAGTTACCGTCTCTTCGCGTCTCCGTCTCCTGAGTTTCTCCGCTGGCCTTCTCCCTCCCCGCCGCAGGCATAAGTTATATGTTCTCCGTTAGTCTAATTCTTCCTTCACTTTCGAGAAACCACATCTCAGACGCCCTTTGGCTTTCCCCATCCCGTACCTCTACGCGCACGGAGCAACGGGAGAGCAGGTGCCTCCGGAACCATCGTCTGCCTGCGAACCTGTCACGGGGTGTGCGGCGATTAGATTTTTGGGGAGCGATTCTGCGACTGCTCGTCCACATCGTAGACGTCTTCTTTCTGGTGATCGCTCGTGGAACAGCAAGGTGTCTTCTTTGATGACCGTTCGTGGGACTACACTGCGAACACCTTCCTGCATCGACTGTGGTCTACGACTTCAAGCAATGCACTATGTCTGGTGCGAATGGAGCCTCCGATGCCCTCGGTATGTGACCCTCCGCTGGGTACACTTTTAACTCTCTGATTACTGTACTTTGTGTACTTACTGTATCGATCGATATGTCATACTTGCATACTGTAGTATTTGTTAGTGATACACATATACATATACGTTGTTACGAATCTGCTGATGTTTTATTTCTAGATTAAACTAGCCATGAAACTACCTAATTATCTAACAGCTGTTCGGTTCCCGTCTTGTATCGCTCTTGACCATCTCCATCCTTGCTCGATCGAGTAGGTGAACTCCGTCCCACTCAAACTTTCCTGCTCGCTCCAATGGATTTAAAAAAAAAACTTGATTCGCAGCAACCTGTCGAATGGACAGAGATTGGCAGGGGAATTTCACCGAGAAGGAAGAGACAGGTAGTCAGTTAGAGATAAGGGGACGCTCATGCCCTTTCCTGCGCCCAAAGGTCCAGTAGTAAAACTTTGGACAGGCTGCCTGCTCTTGCCTATGAATTGAATTGGCCTTCACACAGCCCATTTTGTTTTGCCTCACCGTACCTCGATCTATAGAGGACAACAGCACGGCTGGTAGCTATACATTCAGTCTGGATTCGTGACGTCATCTCTATTTCAGAATGGCTTTGTCATCTTGATCTTGGCGATCCGTGCAACTTTGTTATATGTTCGTACTAGCGTAGCATGTCTCTGAATCTTTAATTTGGTCTCTGAAGGTAACTGCAGCAGATAAACGCTAAGCTGATGGCTGACAACAGTATTCAGGAAGCATTACTGTCTGATCCTCCTAATGTGCTGGCAAGCCAGACATCAGAAGGATCCATACGGTTTCAACGACGCAGGTTACGTCTGTCCTCTGATAAAAAACCCCCACAGAACCTGCTGGTCCTCTGATAAAAAAAACCACAGAAGAAAGGGCCAAACTTCAGGCTTGTAGGCCTCATCCTCTTTGTCTACCTTCTAGCGGGTGTCATCATCTTCTACCTTGTCATGGATCAGATGTCTGGAATGAGAACTAACAGAGTGCTCGACGCCTTGTACTTAGTTATCGTCACAATGACCTCGGATGGCTGTGGGGATCTCGTCCCCAACAGCGACACAACAAAGCTGCTTGCTTGTGCTTTCGTCTTCACCAGCATGGCGATTGTTGGTATCTTCATCAGCAAATTGGCGGACTACCTTGTGGAGAAGCAGGAGGTGTTCTTCAAAGCACCGCAAGGTGAAGCCAAAATGCTCAGTGCTGTCGATACCAACAAGATAAAATACAAGTTCTGCACGGTTGCTCTACTTCTTCTGATGGATGTCATTGCTGGGACTGTGTTCCTGTGGAATTGAAGGTTGAGAAACTGAGCCTTGTTGATTCCTTCTACTGTGTCTTTTATGGGGATAAAAGCTTCCCGTCTAAGTTCGGCCGTGTTTTTGCCATATGTTGGATAATCACGAGTACTGTCATCACGGCTCAGTTTTCCAGTACCTTGGGGAGTACTACATTGAGAGACGGCAGAAAATGCTGATCAAATGGGTGCTCACCAGGAGGATGACAACCATGGATCGAGGAAGCTAATCTGGATGGTGATCGACAAGTTGGGTAAGTGCATAACTCATTTTCAGCAACCGTCTTCCATCAGTCTAAGTTTTCAGAAATGCTAGGTATCACTGATGCTGATGTCTGAATCTTGATCGGCGTACAGTGCTGCTGAATTTGTACTCTACAAGCTGAAAGAGATGGGTAAGATCAACCAGGAGGAGATATCTTTCCTCATTGAGGAATTTGAGAGGATCAATCTTGACAGTCCGGAACACTATAGACGTACAGATGGCAAACCAACCAATGACTGATGTATGGATGCACATTTGATTTTGCTTCTTGAATGGTTTTGGTTGATATTGTTACTTGTTAGCATCTGTTGTCCATATGTAACACTGTAATCTTGTACAGATGGCAAGATGCAAAGCAGATAACACAAGAAATTATATTCCACTTCCCTTCCAAAGCAACTTCAGAATCAAACCTGGACATATGTAAAAAACAAATGTTTGCTGGAAGTTTTCTCCCACTTTGCACGGTTGCGTATATGTGCTTTTTTTTTACCGGAAAGGACGGAAGTTCCTACTTATTTTTGTTATATATATTAGTAAATTCGTCCGTACGCTGTAATAGAAGGTATAGCTTGTTGCACGGCCACCTATAAAGATTGTATCTTTGTTGAATTTAATTGATCGGCTCAACCTTATTTCAATTAAATCAAATATGGTTACAAGTCAAAAAAAAAAAATGGTCACAACATGGCCGATTGTGGTGCGTAGAGTGTGGTATTGGGAGATCAGCAACTCATAGTGATGATTCCACAATTTATTTTGAAAAAGCTTGAGGTGCTGATGGATGGTGGCGCAATGACAAGACCAACCAGCAATGACTCTGGCAGGCATGCGCTTAGCATTACGATGAATTAAAAAATGCTTTAGACAAAGAGGAAACTGTGGATCCTCAAGAAAAAGTGCAAGATGGTCTAGAAATCTAAATTTATAAAAGGCCATGGAACAAAAACTTATCAAAAAATAGAACTCACTAGAGAAACTAAATATTAGGTTGATTTGGTGTCAGCAAAAATTGCACATCCACGGGATAATAAGAGTGGAAAAATGAATGAGATGGAGATTTAAGCCAAGAAATTGGTCAACAATTGCTATAAGAAGATAGTGCCGATTGCTGCAGCGTGGACACATGGAGAGAAAACAATTACGTAAAAAATAAAAAATGTTTTCAAGTAAAAAACATGAATGTCACACTGAAAAAGTTAGCATTCGTGTTATTTGCACGGGCAATCCTACTAGTTGGTCAAAGGCTTAAAGAGTTGTGATGGGCTGACGATGAGTCGATCACGATGCCAGCTGGGCCACTGCCACTTTTCTCCGGCCGAAGGTTGGGCGGATGGATCACAGGAAATTGTCAAATTTCTAGGAACCGCAAAAAGGTCCCGAAGATACATTGAAATTTCAGAGGAATTTGCCGAGTATACAGTAACTTTTTCTGGAATCGGGCGAGTCGGAGTCGTGGACCCTGGCGTCGGTGCAGCCCGCGCAGCCGAGGCAGTTAGTTTTAGGGATCAGGCGAGACGGAGCTCGTGGATCCTGATGGGATGAGTTCGGGGTCGCAGACCTAGATGTTTTTGGTGTGCAGTCGAGGCGTAGCCGAGGGATGGGGCGAGTTCGAGGTTGCAGACCCAGGCGTTTGGTGCGCAGTCGAGGCGTAGCCGAGGGATGGGGCGAGTTCGGGGTCGCAAAGCTAGGTGTTTTGGGTGTCTTGAGCCCCCGAGTCTCGTTGGGCTTTGGTAGGGGTCGGTTTGAGTCGTGTGCATTACCCCGTCCTCGGTTTCTCATAATTGGAGGGGCTGAGCTTTGTCGCTTGCCTCGATCGCTCGGGCTTGAGTGACGCGCTCGGTGAGCTCGCTAACGGGTATGATCGAGTGGAATCTGGGTCCGTCGTTCGTGACGGGGTCGGCATAGCCCTCTTGTGACATTCCACTGCTCCTTTACCTGCAACCTGGCAGATGCCTGGGTCGTTCCGGAGACCGACCTAGGTGGCCCGCTGGCCTCCCCTTCGATGGAGATTCTATGGGTTTGGCAAAAGCTTAGGATCAAACAAGAAGGTTGAGATGACCCTGTCTGCTTCGGAGCAGACTAGGCTAGGGCCGCATGGGGCTCATCTGTGTTTTCTCCCCTAGCTCTATTTGACGCGAGGTGGCCTCGAGCCCTTTGTGAGCCAGCCTTCGAACCCCAGTTGATCGTTGCTCATGTTTGAATGAGGCAACTACCGCTTCGTGACGCAACACATAGCGTTGTGATGCATTTCACCGCATGTGCGATGCATTAGTTCCTGAGCCCTCGGGCGATTCAGGGCCTGAATCGTCCGGGGGCACGGGCGTATGAAATAAATGCATGTATGGACGTATGAATGACTATAAAGAAATAGTGGGGGTTGGTAGTGTTACCTTGATGACTCGAGTGATGAGGTTTGAAGAGCTCCAATCGGAAATGTCCGACCGGGACCCGTGCTCATTGTTCGTGACGGAGTCGGCATGGCCTACATGGGGCGTCCCTTGGCTCCTTACCTATCTCTCAGTGTTTTCCTGAGCCGTTCGATCAACTCAGGAAGCCTGATGGTCTCTCCTGACGGAGATCCCGTTGTTTGGGTTTTTTCAAGTCCCGCCTAGGGAGGCAAAGAGCTGCCTGCGTGTGGTGGCGCTTTGGTTCTTGCGCCCGGTGTGCGGTAGTGGTGGGCCATACCCAGGCCACGTCCTGTCTGATCAGGCGTCGTTCCGTCAGGCAGGGTGCGTCTCATCGGTCAGGGCGTGTCCCATCGTATCCCATCTGCATTAAATGGGGAAGGGAGAGGGTTTTTCACCCCATCATTTCGCCTTTCCCTGATCGCCGCGCCTTCCCCAACTGCCGCGCCCTTTTCTTTAAGTAAGAGAAGGGAGAGGGTTTTTTGCCCCGTTCCTTCACTTATTCCTCATCTACCGTCTCTTGTTTCTTCCTTCTCGCCAAGAGCGTCTGAGTGCCGTGGCGGTTCCTAGGAGAGAAAAGAAAAGGGGGAGAGCGAGGGAGAGGAGAGAACTCATAAATCCGTCCGCGAACCTAGAGCGAAATGTTGGGCTAGAGGTCATCCACTGTGAGGGATTCGGTGCTGGAGGCCTTTGCCATGAAGGGTTTCTACCGCCGAAGGAGGTGGCGCACTAGAGGGCTCCTAGGAGGGATGATCTCCCGCAACCTCGGCCCGGTGAGGTAGTTTCCTTCCTCGCCTTCCACGAGCGTGGGCTAGGATACCCTACACATTGGTTCCTGTGCGGGCTCCTCAATTAGTGGGGTTTGGAGTTGCAGCACCTCAATCTGACTAGGGTGCTGCATATCACCGGCTTCGTCACCGTCTACGAGGCCTTCCTCGGGATGGAGCCGCACATGGACTTCTTCCGGCGGCTGTTCTCTGGGTGAACTTTGTCGGTGGGGGATCTACCTAAGGGCGCGCCGGTGGGGGGTTTTGCCCTATAGAAGAAACTAAGCGCGGGGGGGGGCTCGTATCCCGTGTACCTCCCCTGTGACTCCAACTAGGGGTGGCATGGGGAGTGGTTCTATATCAGGAACCTGGTGGAGGCTCCATTCCCGGTGTTCATTGGCAGAAGGCCGGTGAGGCGGGAAAGTTGGTAGTGGGGCCCTTCTCGACGGGAGAAGAAGAAGGTGGAGATCATCGAGGCGGAGCTCCAGAAGCTCGTGTGGCGAGGCCTTGACGGGGTGCGGGTGTTCCACACCCTCTATCGCCGTTGGGTTGCTCCATTGGCGGAGAGGGCATGGCTGATGTGGAAGTACGGCGGCCCGACGGACCCCGATTGTGCGTCGCCGGAGGAGCTACCGAACGATGAGATCTGGAGTCACCTTGACCGGGTGCTGCAGCTGAAGCCCAAAGAGAAGGTCGATAGAAAGCCAGGACCTCTCAACGCCTCGGTGGTGTCCAAACTGGTATGCTTCCTTCTCTTTACTCTGTGTTCTTTTCCCCTTAGCTTTCCTGCTTTTTAATTTTGAGTCGCTTATTTTGTAGGGACTTGAAGCTTACAAGACCCGGCCGCACCTTCCGAAGGGGCCGGAGGACGCGGCTTGGCAGGCCGCCTAGAAGGAGGCGGCGGATGCCAGGAAGAAGAAAGCCATGGAGTCTCGATGAAAGTATGAGAAGGAGATCGCCCGGCGCGTGAAGGTCGGGGAAAATAGGAGCGACGTCGAGTCAGAGCTCGAGTCGGAGGACCCCATAGAGGTGGAGGATGACATGACCTTCTCTGAGGAGGAGAGACAGGAGGTCGTTGGGACCTCGACGGAGCGTCGCGATCCCACGATGTCTCGTGGCGATGGCGGGGCGGCGAGGCGCGGCGATGTCCCCATGCCGAGGAAGCGAGCTACGAGCGTGGATGCCGTCGGTGAATGGGAGGCGAAGCAGACGCGGTCATCGCGCCCTTCGGTGGTGTCACCGGTCTCGTCCCCGCTTGCCGCGGACACGGCCGAGCAAGCCGGGCAGTCAGAGGAGCGGGCCTATACCCACGCGTCGCCAGGGCCGGTGCCAGCGCGCGACTCACAGTGAGAGGATGCCCCGCTCTTTGCTCGGTCGGAGTGCCACAGAGCCGGGGCGTGGTGACTCACGCAGGGCAAGGGCGAGAGCCGATGGAGTCGACTCCGCCCTCGGCTGTAGTGAGGGGGCGTGGGTTGCTGCCCAAGAGCGGCCTCGCCCTATGGGCCTATTGAGTTTTAGAGTTGTGCCGCTTTCATCCTGGTACGCCTTTCTTTGTTTCTTT